GCCAATTCACATTATCATATGCCTTCTCAATATCTAACTTACAAATAAGACCAGCACCCCACCGCCGAATTCGCGAGTCAACACACTCATTTGCTACCAACACAGCATCCAAAATCTGACGCCCCCCCACAAAGGCATTCTGGGACTCAGACACCAGCCCCTCCAAGACACCGCGCAACCTGTTTGCCAAAACTTTCACCAGAAGCTTGTACACACTCCCCAACAGGCTAATGGGTCGAAAATCTTTTATATCTGCCGCCCCACCCTTTTTAGGAATTAACGCTACGAAAGTTGCATTAAGACTCCTTTCAAACTGCCCGGACTGATAAAACTGAGCAAACAAGGCTACGACATCTGTCTTGACCACTTTCCAACACCGCTGGAAGAAAAGCATAGTAAAACCATCCGGGCCTGGCACCTTATCCCCAAACATTTTCTGAAGAGCCTCGAAAACCTCCTCCTCGGAAAAAGGCCGCTCCAGCATCTGCCTATCTGCCTCTGAAAGAGCATCAAATTGAACACCATCCAAACTTGGCCTCCAAGTCCCATCCTCCCCCCGAAACAAATGCTGGTAAAAGCCCACTATGCCTTCTCTCACCTCCTCCTCTGACGATAACACCCCATTAACCCACAACTTCCCAACTTGATTAACCCGACGATGAGCAAATCCTCGTTTCAGATGGTGGCCACGACTGCTGGCAGAAGAGAACAGATTTTCGTGCCAGAATCTGATTTTGGTGGTGGTTGGGAGGGAGTTGCATTGGTCTTGGAGGGTTTTGCCTTTGGGGATGGATGGGCCCAAACGAAGAACAGCCAACCTAGGGTGGAGGTAGTAGGAAGGCCACCGTAGGTGATTGCGCTAATACATCGGGATGCGGATGTGGGGGATGTGGTGGTTCAGGTAGGTTCTGAAGGGGGGTGGTTTCGGAAGTTGGATAGAGCGGTAGTGGGGAGGGTGGGGGTTTTGGGGAAAAAAGGTTTGGATACGTTGGTGGTCGCAAATTGGGTGCTTCGATGGTGGAAATCGTCAGGGGAAGTGGAGGTTTATGGAATTGGAGGGCAATTTTACCTGTCTTTAGATCAAGGCGTGAGGCTGAGAGTGTGATACGTCGGCGGTGGACGATAGCTGGGCGTGATATGGTTCTTAGCTACTGGTCGCCGGATTCGCTGTGTGTGGATGGCGGGGCACCAATTTCGGTATCCAATAACTGGGTACAGATTTTGGGCCTTCCAATCCACCTTCGAAGTCCTGAGTTGTTTCGCGAGATTGGCAACAGATGTGGTGGTTTTGTGGCGATCGATGAGTCGGTGGAGATGTTAGGGTGTGTTCGGTTGAAGATGTGTGGCCAGGCCAGTGGGTATCCGTCGCAGATTTCAATTCGATGCGGTTCACGGCGTTATACGCTACCTATCTGGTCGGAAACTGGGCCAGTGGTGGTTGCTACGCCGGCGTTAGGTGGTTCTACGGTTACGTTAGTCGCCTAAATTTGATTTTTTTTTTTTTCGCTACTAAACTTTTATTCGCCGAAAGTTTGATTTGCTTTTGCCTACTAAATCTTTAGTCGCCAAAAATGTTTTGTTGTTCAGGTTATTTTTGTTTAGCTACTAAATAATTTAGTTACCTAATGTTTGATTTTTTTCGACTACTAAACTTTTAGTAGCCTAAAGTCTAACTTGTTTTTGCCTACTAAACCTTTAGTCACCAAAATATGTTTGTTGTTTGTTTGCAATTTTGTAGCTACTAAACATTTTAGTCGCCTAAAGTGTGATTTGTTTTTTGGCTAACTTTTAGTCGCCGATTTTTTTTTTCTTCCTTTTGACCTACAAATTGTTTAGTCGCCAAAAACATAATTTTATGTTTTTTCTCCAAATTCTAATTTATTTACAACCTGTATGTATTTCGTGCAACCTGCACTATGTATATGAACAAAGCAATACATCTATTATCAATCATTCCAAAATAGATTCGCAACCATTTCACTTCCAACCATCAAAAAATGTATAACTGTAAATGTAAAATTCCATACAAACCATAGTCCAACCTGTACTATCTAGTCCAAACTTTTTTAATAATTCCATACAAATCATAACAATTAAGTTATCTATGCCCCAAAAATATATGTACTACCATGCAAAATGGCCATTTGTCGTGGTGCAAATTAACATTGGAATTTGTACCATAACAAAAGGAATTCTATATACCACGCCAGTAATTATAAAGTCGAGGGCAAAAAATATCTATACGAGTAATAGTAATCCACACAAAAGCAGAGGACGACAAAATTATCAGGAGTATGCAAAGGTCGAAATTGTCCTCCATACACCAAAAAGGAGTACCCACAAGTCCACGCCAAAAAAATAAATAAATAAAAATAAAATAAAATAAAATTGCACACATTAGTATTCAGAAATGCATGCTTCAATGTACCTAGTTATTCATGTTTTTCAAAACTAATAGCAAAAACTAAATACATGAAGTGGTGGACAAGTATTTCTTGTTCTATTCAAGAAGTCTTTGATAAGCAATAAGAGGTTGAGCTTTTTTGTTATGTAAAAACTAAATACAGGACTTCATAAACACGTCTTCATGAAAATTGATCCTATTTAGCTTTTGGTAGTGTCTTAAAGTTTTCAAACAACATGATTCTGACTTTAAGATTTTGGTAGTTTGGAAGAGTTGAGGAATTGGGAGTATTAGAAAAGTCATCATTCTTGAGAAATGTATATATACTCTGCCGCTGTTTCTCTTCTCTCAACAAGCATACCTCTTATTCATGTAATTTAAGGGAAGATGGCATGGTTACTATTGTCCAACCAATTCCTTGCCTTCTTCTCCTTTCTCTTATGTTGTAAGTTTATTTGTTCTTCCTTATCTCTTCTTGTGCACATCATTTGTGCTCTATTGACGAAAGCTTTGCATTGGTTCGGGGGCTTATCTAAAAATAATAAATAAATAAATAACTTGCTTAAATAATAAAATAAGTAAAGAAATAACAAATCTGTAACATCCATACATTGGTTCAGGGGCTGTTTTGCATTTTCGCCGCCCGAAAGCCCTTTTTGAACTAAGTTTAAGGCGTTTTTGGTTCTAACTCTCAAACTACGCGTGCGAATTACATGCCATCTGTGGTCACAGATCCTATTTGTCATGAGGATGCTGCCCTCAACATCCATACATTGGTTCGGGGGCTATTTTGCATTTTTGCCCACCGAAAGCCCTTTTTTGACTAAGTTGAAGGCGTTTTTGGCTCTAACTCTCAAACTACGCGTGTGAATTACATGACGTCTATGGCTACAGGTCCTATTTGTTACAAGGATGCTGTGTGTGACAGCCATACATTGGTTCGAGGGCTGTTTTGCATTTTTGCCCCCTAAAAGCCCTTTTTCGACTAATTTTAAGACATTTTCAGCTCTAACTCTCAAACTACGCATGCAAATTACATGTCGTCTGCAGCCATATGCCAGGAGGATGCAGTCCGTAACATTCATACATTGGTTCGGGGGCTGTTTTGCATTTTCGGACCTTTTTCGCCTAAGTTCAAAGCGTTTTCTGCTCTAACTCTCAAACTACACGTTCGAATGACATGCTGTCTGTGGCCACAGGTTGTATTTGTCACGAGGATGCTGCCCCTGACACCTACACATTGGTGCGGGGGCTGTTTTGCATTTTCGCCCCCCTAAAGCCCTTTTTCGAGTAAGTTTAAGGTGTTTTCGACTATAACTCCCAACCTACATGTGCAAACTACATGCCCTCTGTCTCCACAGGTCCTATTTGTCACGAGAAAGCTGTTTGTGACGTTCATAGAGTGGTTCGGGGGCTGTTTTGCATTTTCACCCTTTAAACACCCTTTTTCGACGAAGTTTAAGACGTTTTTGACTCTAACTCCCAACCTACGTGTGCTAACTACATGTCGTCTATCCTCACAGGTCATATTTGTCACGAGAAAGCTTCTCATGACATCCATTGTGTGATTCAAAGACTGTTTTGAATTCCCCCCTGCCCGCGCGAACACCCTTCATTTGTCCTATATCTAATTAGTATTAAAATGATCAATTAACATAAGGGTATAAGATCCCTAACTATATACAATCCAGTAAAATCTTTCCCAAAACCTAGTGCCTTCTTTCCCCTTTCTTAAAAGTCAAGAAGAAAGTTATAGCTAAAGGACAAGCTAATGGTGTTACCCTCACCTATTAGCTTGAGAGGGGATGATAAGAGTATTAATCATTAGTAGTCTCAGTAGTGGAGTCAGTTGCTTCAACATACACAACATCATCAACAATTGTGCCAGAGGGTAGTGAGAAAGAACAAATACACATTGTACACTTTTTTTTTTCTTCTCAAATTTCAAAACAAAAATGTACACTTTTTGTTCTTTTATCAAATTTCAAAACCAGGCAAGGAAGAAAAAATGTTTGGACCTAAAATGATTGCACTTTGCAACTGTACAGTGATTCCATGAAAATTTGTAATGCAAACTTTGGATGCCAAGTCAAAATCTACTCAATTCTTTCCAAGCTATAGCTTAATAAATATAGGCTACTCTCAGAGATAGTATGTTACAATATCTTAACACCACAATTCTGCACAATGAATTCATGAAGCATGTAATTCAGTAGCATCAAATTTCTAACCTAAAAAATTGCTAGAAAACTTGGTGAAGTTGTTTGGGTCTAATTTAACACGATTTTCTCTTCCACTACAACCAAAATAACAAGCATTAGCTATGGGAAAACAGATAACCACACAGAGACATACACACCAAAATAAGGCAAGCAGTAAAAGCAACCTTGAAGAGATCTATCCCTCTTCAACTACTCCTGTCAACATTACCTAGGAGAGTGACAAAGATAATAGATTCATACTAATGCTAATTAGTAAATGATTAACAAGAGAACAACCCCATTAAATTATTCTTGGAAATAGAAACATTATGCATGGGATTTGTGGATGTGGGGGTGGGGAAGAAACGGCCACGTATCTTATGTTTCCATGGTTAGTGAGCGGTGAGCTGGTAGCGCCATTTATTTCATACACATAGCTTAAATTTGTACATTTCACTATTTGGTGGTTCTTTCCTTTGTCGAAGTAAAATAAAAAAAAAATTTAAAAATCAATAGTTTTCTTTTGAGGAGTTCTTCCATTTAATTTCTATAAAACTTATATTGGTATAAAAAATTTCTAATTAGTCAACACTCAATTCAAGTTCGGTAATATTTATCAATCAGCCCTGTTATATACCAAAGGAGATTTGCATGCATCAAATTATGTAGGAATATCAGTTGCACAAATGCAAGGTGGAAAATTTCAAAACCTTTGGCATTAATCCAAAGCAAAGCCAGATTTTACTCCAACAATAAAGGCAAGGCCAATACATCATACAAAACCGAAAGATGAATGATGTGTGTGCTCATGCCAATGACATGATTCATAACAAAAATTTTCTAATCCATTTGTAATCTTTTTATATGGCTGTAGAAGAAGACACACATTATCCATAACAATATATATGTTAAACATCTTGTATATGGACTATAATTATCAATAATTGGAAATTGTAATCAGAGCACAATAAAGGACTACCGGGAATTCAGTTTCATGAAAATAATAGAAAGAGTAAGCGAAACCGGATTTTACTCCAACAATAAAGGTAAGGCCAACACTAGATACATGTTCCAAAGATAAATGATGCATGTGCTCATGTCGAAGACATTATTCATAAGGAAAATTTCCTAATCCATTTTGTAATCATTTTTATTTTGTTGTAGAAGAAGACACACGAACAATTTTGTTTGTATGTAAAGCCTGTGCATGTGCCTACAAGTTTACAAATCTTCTTTGATTTTGGAATCTGATTTTGGAATCCCAACACCTTAAGAAACCCAAAAAACTAATCAAAGCAATTTTTAGAAAAAAAAATAAACACAGTTATCTATAATGACTATCACAAAGGTTTACAAGGACTCAAACTAAAATGTAGGATACGGATGAGGCTGCTTAGGAAGCCATGTGTTTACTACAGTATGAAATCAATTAAAGAGAAAAAGCAACAGAATAAACAAACAGAAAGAGGAAAAATAAGTGATACAAAATACCAGAAAAAAAAAAAAAAAAACAAACAAACAAACAAACAAACAATAGAAAAAGGAAATCAAGTGATACAACATACCAGAACATGTTTGGCTCAATATAGAACGAGCTTCTGGCTCAAATCCCATGTCAAGCATCCGATCAGCTTCATCTAGAACCTGCCAAAAAGAAAGGAGTTAGAGACACTAGTGTAGGGAGCTAGAATGCTCTAGTAAAATCAATTTCATCAAAATTCCCATATCCAAGCCTGACAAAGGTAAATCACTAATAGCTACAACTTGAATAAAAGATTAAAGGGCTTTCAGGCTTTCTGCTGTCATCTTTTTCTAGAAACTGAATTCACCAATACAACAATCAGATAAGACTAAAATGTTCTTAAATACATAAGGCATCTAAATAGATTTAGTGAGCTAGTTTATGACCCATGAAAAGACTCCCGATTGGAGTTACAAATAGGGGAATGATATTCACACCCCTTGTGAGAGGCAATATGACCAAAGAAAAAAGTGAGAGACTAAAAGGGGATTCGGCGTATCGTTTCGTACAAATATGGAAACTCTCAAAAGTTAAAAGAGAAACAAGAAACTTCAAGCAAAGACTCCCAATGTTATAACACATTCTAATTGGTCCCAACAAAATAAGAACTAAGAATTTGAACAACCTATTCTTTTTTTCACCTCAACACTAAAAAACCAAATCTTTATAGTAGTCTGCCCAATATAATCGAAAACGAATTCCTCCTTGTTCTTGTCAAAATTTCCATTTGGTTGGTACTGATCCATTCACATAAAGGGCACAAGTGTACAATTTGGTACTAAATGCCAATACAAACCAAAAGTTGTTCAATTAAAGTCCAACAAACTAACAAACACAAGTGTTTATGATTTTGAACATAACTAAGGTTCCTATCATTAAGATTCACAAATATATAGGACATAAAAATAACAATACACAACACCCAATTAGTACACATTAATGTGTGAGGGATGTCGTTTTAGCAACAAGATTTAAAAGGGCCTTTTAATACGGTTAAAAAACATGATCAACAAAGATCAACAATATTGGAACTTAGAAGACAAAAAAAATTGGTTTAAAGGGTTGGATTAAGATCCAGGGCTTTCCATTGTAAGAGAAAAAAGAAAAAGAAAAAGCATAGATTGACTTTGATCTCCCACTAATGTTTGTATCACTTTCCATCAAAACAAAAACATTTCAGCTATTTCAATGGGAATGAAACAAACATTTTATTCCTTGCTCACCACATATTCAATTGCAGATTTGTACCCGAAAAAACATTGAAAAATCTACAGAGCACATGATAACAAGATATTTCAGTTCAAAGGGGACTCATCGGAAGTAAATTTGCTATCACAGAATAAAAAAATGACATTTTTCCATCAATTTAAAAACAAAACCAAAAAAAATTGACATTAAAAAACTGATGTTAGAGAAATCGCAATTTGAAAAGAGGTTATGTGCAAGTCAAAGCTTATAAAAGCAAAAATCTAATATAAAATGCTCTTTCCAAATTGGTACCATTATCTAGAATCTTCTAGACATCAACCTCTGTGTTGTCATTATCTTTGGTTACTTCCCACCCAAATAGACTATAGAAGTGCCAAGAAAGAGTTTTGGAAGGCTACTCTAGCAGGCTTAAAGAGTGCTAGAGCAGCAAGGTGTTATCTATGACCAGAAGATTGGTGATAGTCTGCCAGAGCACTCAGTTTAGCATTGTCTAGCACTCTAGCATAAAGGAACGTCCATGTAAAGGGTGCTTTAGTGGCCGTAACTAATAGACAAGCAACTCAACGATACCATAAATATTTTGATATCCAACTTCTCTCTACGCCTACGACATATTAAACTCAATCTTTCTTGGACAATTATACATCCAACCATGTTCAAATGATGAAGATATTATAGTAACTTAAACAGCCATATATATTTTGAAAATGAAGGGTACTCAAACACAGAAGCAATTTCACTCTTAACAGGTATCAATCAATAGTATGTTGCAACAAATAAGGATATATATCAAGTAGAATGTGATTTACGTAAACATCTAGTCAAAATGAGAATGTAATTTCTTTTTCTTTTCCTTTTTTTGTGTGGCAAAAATTCAAAATGAAAATAAAATTAGAGAGCAAATTGAAGTAGTCTTACAACACCAGACTTCAAAGAAAATACCTGGGGTCCTTTAGAAGTTCCTCCATATAAACAAACTGACTGCAAGCCACAAGGTTTTCCAGCATTACAAAGAACGTCTGAAATCTGCCACTAGCACAAAATGTCAGTGTTTAGCCAATTCTTCAACAAATAAATACCACTAAATCAAGTGAGCATTTTGCATGTAAGGTAGAGCTATGGATAACAAATATATATACACAAAAATAAAACAATGTCACTGCCACATTGATCCATTTTGTTCTTGATTTCTGTCTCTAGCTAATTTTCTTTTGTAGTTAAAATTCTTCCAACTGCAACTTCCTCCATCAGTTCAGTGTTATAAAAGAAACTGATTCAGTCACTACATCCATCCCATGAACTTCACAGAACCATACAATATCTTAAAAAAATAAAAGAATAAGAATTGTACAATAAGTACATAAAGGGTTAAAAAAAATAATGGAAACAAACATTCCAATAATGAGTGAAAACCCCCCAGAAGAAGGTTTTCCAATACAATGGATTAGGGCTTTGAATACATACATACACAATGAGGGACCAAATATACATGCAAATACATGGGCTTTGAAACTACATACACAATCAATGGATTAGGGCTTTGAAACTAATGAGAGAGAAACGAAAAATAAGGGAAATGTATGAAATCACTAAAATCAAACCCATTTAGGACATCAAACCCATAAAACTTTACAAATCAAACCACTTCAACCAAACCCATTTTCGGAAATCAACACCAAATTAAATTGAAGAAATCATAACAACCCTAGAGCAAGATTCAGAAAGGGGGTAATAGAGAAAGGGGGACGGAGAGGGAGAAAGAGTGAACAAGGTCGACAGAGCGAGAAACAGAGAGAGAGAGAGAAAGACAGATGCGAGTGAGAGAGAGAGACAGATCAAGAGTGAGAGAGAACCTGTGAGGATGCGGCGGTGACGGTGGTAATCTGCGGCGGGGGCGATGGCAAGCAGCGGTGGTCTACGCTGAGGTGAGGTGATGTGGGGTGAGGTTTGGTGGTCAAATAGAATGTGAGAGAGAGAAGAACCCGATATATCTAATTCCATAACAGGGCGCCAATAGAGGGGCTTTTCCCAAACTGAGCCCGTTTTGCATTCTATTTGTTAAAGTAGGCTTAGTTTGGACGGAATTCTCAAACTAAGTTAAAATGTTATTGCAAATTATATTTTTACTGTTTGGAGTCTAAAATTTGATGAATAGTAAAAGCGCTATTATAAAATGCGCTTTTAATTAATAAATCGCTATTTTAAATCGTGCTTTTAACATAAAAAATTTTTTCTAAAGAAAACGTTATTTGAAATAGCGCTTTGACTGTGCATATAATTTCTTTTTTTTTTTTTAAACTAGGCCAACTTCTGACGGAATTCCAAAACTAAGCTAAAGCGCCATTACTATTCGCGCTTTTACTGTTAGGAGCGCAAAAGTAGATGAACAGGAAAATCGCTATTACAAATAGCGACTTTGATTAAGAAGTCGTTGTTACGAATAGCGCTTCTAGGGTTAATTTTTTTCCCAAGGAAAACGCTGTTAAGAACAGCGCTTTTTACACACAATTTTTTTGCGAAAAAAACGCTATTGCTAATAGCGCTTTCACTGTAATAATTTTTTTTTTTTTTTTTTTAGAAAACGTTATTTCAAATAACGTTTTTACTGTTGAGACATTCACCAAAACCAACCCACCTCTGACACACGCACACACCCACACACACCCAACCCACACTAAGCATTGCTTTTAATATAATTTTTATATATAATAATAAATTATATAATTTTTATAATTTTCGTAAATATAAATCATTTTTAGGTTATGGATGGTTTGATTTATAACACGTATATAAAGGTAAAAAATTTTGTAATCAAAAATAATTTTTGCAATTTTTATAGTCAAAAATAATTTATAAATTACCAAAAATAATTTATAATACGTATGTATTATAAAAAATTTTATAATAATTTATAATACGTATGTATTATTTGAATCTTTACATTTTTTATTTAAAATTTTTCACAGTAAACCCATCTTCACATTTTATAATACGTATGTATTATTCAAAAATAATTTATAAAAATTTATAATTAATACGTATGTAAATAATTTAATACGTATCTTCACATTTACATTTACAGTAAACCCATCTTCACATTTACATACGTATGGTTTAAGGGTAAAATTTTTGATAAATGATAAATCAAACCATCCATAACCTAAAATAATTATTATATATTTATTAATAATTTATTTAAAGTAAATAATTTATATATATAATACATACGTATCAAAAATAATTTATTTAAAGTAAATATATAAAAATTATATATATAATACATACGTATTATATATAGTTTATTTAAAGTAAATACATACGTATTATAAATTATTATAAAAATTTTTATAATACATACGTATTATAAATTATTTTTGGTAATTTATAAATTATTTTTGATTATAAAAATTGCAAAAATTATTTTTGATTATAAAAATTTTTACCCTTACATACATGTTATAAATCAAACCATCCATAACCTAAAAATGATTTATATTTATGAAAATTATAAAAATTATATAATTTATTATTATAAATTATTATTATATATAAAAATTATCTTATTTCAATGATTCACAGTGTGGGTTGGGTGTGTGTGGGTGTGTGCGTATGTCAGAGGGTGGGTTGGTGTTCAACAGTAGAAACGTTATTTCAAATAACGTTTTCTAAAAAAAAAAAAAAAAAAATTATATGCACAGAGAAAGCGCTATTTCAAATAGCGTTTTCTTTAGAAAAAAATTTTATGTTAAAAGCGCGATTTAAAACAGCAATTTATTAATTAAAAACGCATTTTACAATAGCGCTTTCACTATTCATCAAATTTTGGGCTCCAAACAGTGAAAGCGCGATTTGTAATAGCGCTTTAGCTTAGTTTGGGAATTCCATCCAAACTAGGCCTAGTTTGGGAAATAGAATGCAAAAGAGGCTTAGTTTGGGAAAAGCCCCGCCAATATATTCATTTCACTGTAAAATTAATTTATCATTTAGCGACTAAACCATTTATATTGTCGCCAAAACTTGTAATTGAGCGACTAAATTTTTTTTGGTCGGAAAAAATTTAATAAACGACAACTAAATTTGTTTTTGTCACGAAAGGTTAATATTTATAGACTAATTTATTCATAGCCAAAGAGTAACATGAAAATATAGTTGTTATTTGGTGACTAAACCTTTTTTTGTCGGCAATAATTAGCATACCGCGACTAAAAGCCTATCTAGTAGCCTAAAATCTAGACTTATGCCGACTAATAAATTTTTAGTTGCCAGAAAGTGGCATATTCGGCTTCTAAATTCTTTTTAGTCGCCAATAAGTAATATATGTCAACTAAAAAAATTTAGTCACTACAGCTTAACCAAACACCGGCTAATACATTTTTTAGTTGCCAAAAGGTTAACTTTTGGCGACTAAAATCCTTGCAGTCACCAAAAGTGTAAATTGTTGTAGTGTATATATAAGTAAATGTAGTAGGTTTTCAAAAATTTCAAAAGCCTTGATCATACCTTCTCATTCAAAGTTAGCTTTCTCTTTTCTACACGATACGCCCTCTAGCCTCATTTGCCCTTTTCCTAATTTCTAATTATTTATTAGTTTTTAAAAAAGATGACAAAAAAAAATGAGATGGAAAATATTAAGTTCTAGATGTGAACATAAAAAAATAGCTACAAGAAGACAAATAAGAAAAAAGAATTTAATTAATCTATTTCTACTCATAACTAATCTATCTATCCATATTCTTCTCACTTTATAAAAAAAAAAATAATGATAATAAAAATTTTATTTTTTATGTGAACATAAAAAAATAATTAAATAAATAAAGCTATAGAGATAAATAAGAATATTTTTAACAAATCTATTTTAGTATTACGATCAGATAAGTATTAACGTATATAAGGTAATATTGATTTTTTAATTTAAAAAATATTAAAATAATGGCATACTCACGTTTTTGTTGGATCATATATCATTTTATTTAATAAAAAAAATATCCTTTAAAAACCAAAAAATTGATATTAAAATAAAAACAAACAAACAAATATTATCCTTAAAGGATTGAGTAATGTATCATCTTATTCTAGATAAAACAAAATTAGATAATTATCATTTTAATATATACTATAACAAAAAGCAGATTTGGCGACTAAAACTGGATTTTTCGTCACTGAAAGTAGTAGAATTGGCGACTAAAATGGAATTAGTCGCCAAAATTGGCCACTTTTGCCAACTAAAAGAGTTTAGTCGCTGAATATAAGGGTTTTAGCGACTAAAAGTCAGTTTAGTCACCAAATATAGGGGTTTTAGCGACTAAAAAAATCTTAGTAGCCAAAGGTTAAGGTTTTTGGCGACTAAAAACATTTAGTAGCCAAAAGTATAGGTTTTGGCGACTAAAAAACAGTTTGGTCACCGATTCTACATGTTTTGGCGACTAAAAACAGTTTGGTCACTGAAAGTCAAGCTTTTTGGCTACTAAAAAAAAATTAGTAACTAAAAACAATCAATTGGCGACTAAAATTCACTTTAAAAACAGGTTTAGTCGCCAAAAGGGGACGTTTTTAGGCGGAACATATTTTTTTAGCGACTGAAAATTAATTAGTAGCCCAAAATTATAGAATTGGCGACTAAATAATGGATTTAGTCGCCAAAAGTGATCTAAATTTTTTTTTACTAAATAATTTATTTTTTACATAAATTATATTGAATATATATAATTATATTTATATATATAGTTTTGTATTAATACCGATCAAAGTAATATATAAATAATATATGTTGCATTTATATTCATGTGATGTTGTAGTGGCATAGTGGGGAGAGTGTGTTGGTAAAGATTTAGAATGTGGGAGGTTGGTGGTTTAAAACTTGGGAAGAGCAAAGGGTAATTTTTATTTTTATTTTTTTATTTTTTTTATTTTTTCTGAAATAAGCTTTTGGCGACTAAAATGGGTGGTTGCCAAAAACTTTAGTATTGGCGACAAAAAAAATAGTCGGCAAATGTATAAATTAAAAAAAATAATTCACTATTGGCGACAAAAAATTTAGTCGCCAAATGTATAATTTAAAAAATATAAATGAGCTTTGGCGACGAAAATTTTAGTCGATACAGACTTGGTTTTTGGCGTCTAAAAGTTTTTAGTCGCCAATACCTCCGACGACCATGTATTCGCGACAAAACCGGCGACTAAAATATTTAGTTGGGGAAAGTGAAAAGTAGACTTTTAATAAAATTAATTAAATTTTCAGCGACTAAAACTTCTTGTCGTAGATAAGTTTTAGTCACAACATTACTACATTTAGGGACTAAAGAATTCAGTCGCCAAAAAAATTATTTTTCATTTTATTAAACTTTTGGCTACTAACCATTTGGTAGCCGAAAGTCTTCATTATAATTTTAGCTACTAAATTTTTAGTCACTAAAAATCTTTGGGTTCTTTATGGCTACCAAATATTTGGTCACTAAAAATATTGATTTCCTTTTTGGCTACCAATTGGTTAGTCACTAACAAATTCACTTCTTTTTTTTTCGCTACTAAACATTTAATGGAAAAAACTTTATTTTGTGTTTTTTTTTATTATAATTAATTTCTTCATAACCTGTATTTATTTCGTGCAACCTGCACCCTGTATTTAAACAAAATAATACATATATCTATTTCTATTTCGTTTCAACAATTCAAAAATTTGATCTTTTAACATCAAATTCTATACAAATCTGAATTATCCAACCCAAAATAATAATTCCATACAAATACAGAATCATACAAAAAAGATGTCCTCTGTACAAAAAATTCTACATCAAATGTCATTTACAGAATATTTTGAAGGTGTAAACATGATGGGAAAATTAAATTTATTTACTAAAACACTTGCTTAATTTAACAATGAAGCCATTGATCTAAACGCTTCTCATCCTTCAAGCTTGCTTCATATAGTTTGGTACCTTTCTTTCTGAAGACACCAACTGCAAAATAATGCAAATGTAGTAATGCAATCAGAAAATCGAGAAATGGAATGGAAAGATGCA